AAACACTTCATTATAGCTTTAAGAACACATATGTAACCTGAGGATCAGGTAGTAAGATATGATTTATGTTGATATGGCTCATATATTGACAAAGGAAGGACGCAGACTGATGCCTGCGAGCGTAACGGAGCGAACTTCGCTCGGTCGCTAAGTAAATTAATACCTTGTATGGTTATAGTATAAATACATGGTCTATTGATGTATTTGTGACTATTGAGAATAATAAAGATCCCTCAGCCGCCGTGGACGTAGGCACATTGCCGAACCACGTAAATCTTGTGTTATTTACTTTTCTCTCTCTTTTTTTTTTAATTCGTATGTCATATTGTCATCTTCACTCAACAATTTATTTATATAGACGAGCTTTTCATAGAAAAAAAAAAAAGCAATTTGTAAGGCTGATGTTAGACATGTCTAACGATTATGCGGGCATATTTTTTCAATAGATATATATACGTATATATATTACAAATTGAAATGTCATATGCATGTATGCGTTTTTTGTACAAGGAAATATACTGAGTCGATCTGTCTCACACAAAAATTTGTGTTGTGCTTGTAGTCTTGTACTAGAATTATTATTAACAGTAATTAGTTGAACTAATTTAATTTTTTGAATTAATATTAATAGGTGATTTAATTTTAATTATAAAGATAAATAAAATTATTCATTTATTTTGTATGTATATAGATATCAAATCGAAGTTAATCAATACATGATTAATTTGATATTTAATATATAAAAATCTGTTAACATTTAATTAATTTACTAACTTTTAAATATATTTATAATTTAAGTTGGTAAATTTGTTATAATTTTAAAGAAATATTGGAAAAAATTTTAAACCCTATAAATCACGTATACAATAGGAAATAGTATTAAAACATAATTAATAATTTTAAAAGGGTCCGTAAATATCCAGTATATTTGTGGATATTCCAAGGCTAGTTACTTTTGGATCCAAGCCAAACAACAAATCTGAAAAATTTGTCACATAGTATCTCGAAGTTGCGAGCCTAAATTTGACCATTTTAATCGCACATATATGGTTAACAGATAAAAATACTGTATTTTTTTAGTAACTGTATTTAAAAGAAAGGATTTATTTAAAATTCGATTACTAGATAATTAAGAGTCGTAAATCTATATATTAATTTATTTGTTGTAGATTTTTGTGTGTACCTATCAAAGTAGCTTTTTTTGTATGCGCTTATTCTTTCAAGTTTTGCCAAACCCTATCAACCTCGTCCATAGAGCTGTATAACCACTGCGGGGTAAATTGTTTCGACCTCCAAATTCTGGTGAACTGAAGAAATGTTTGTTAAATGTATTTTTTTTTTCTTTTTTTTTATTAATAGATTATAGTTTAGAAAAATACTACAGTCTCGCAGTGGCGAAGCTACGTTCAGTGGCTGGGGTCGTCCGACACCGACGCTTTGCGTTGAACCACTTGTACGTAACAAAATTTCACCGTGTAAGACCCCATTAAAAAAATAATAAGACCCCGGCAGCAGGGGCGGATCTATATATCATTGTCCCGACCCAGCAACCAAAATTTCTGGCTTCGCCCTGCAGTCTCGTTACGAAACTATTCCGTTGGGATTGTAATCGTTAGATCATCATGTAACCATTGTGAATAGTTGATCATGTAACCGTCGTGAATAGTTGATTTATATACGAATACTATTGAAAATCACTCTAAGAAGCATTCAGTGGACAGTCGCGAGAGGTTGGCTCAACAAATCCTCAACGACCATGTCATAACCACGTCATCCCACGTACACTATACAACTCTGCCACGTCATAAATCCAGAAAACTATACAGTGAAATAGTAATATATTTAATAAATACTAACAATTATCAACAAAATTGTTGTTCAGTCAACGACTGAATCTTGTTCTTCCATAACAGTTATGTGTCTATAAATAGCAGCCTTAATTCTCATTTACTTTCACAACACTACTTCACACACCAAATCAAACTAAAAGAAACACACTTCATTATTACAATGGCTGCTAAAGTATACATTGTGTATGTTTCTCTATAACCTTTTATTATTATTATTATTTTGCAATGGGTTGTTCTTGAATGTTTCAATCCCCTGTTCTTTGCCCTGTTTTCCAGTTTTCTATTGATCAAGAATCAGTAACCTTTAATTGTTATTTATTTCGAAAGCTAAACAAGAAATTCGAACCTCTTTTTTTTTTTTTTCCTTTTTTTCAGTTACTATTCGACCTACGGGCATGTCGAGAGACTCGCGCAAGAGATCAAGAAAGGAGTCGAATCCATACCAGAAGTTGAAGCTAAACTTTGGCAGGTTTAGTTTTGTGGTCTCATATTATTATCATTGTTATTATTATGATTATTATTTTGTCAATGAAAATGACTACGTTTCGTTAGTGTGTTTTGACTATGGATTATTTAGTCTATACTAATCTACATGTGTATCTAAAAACTAATAATAATCACATAATGATTCTCTGACGAGACTGTAGGGATTACTTATATCAACATAACCTATTTGGTCAGCATTAATTTAATTGCTAGCAATTATTCACCGGACAGGTCCCGGAAACTCTCACGGACGATATCCTCGCGAAAATGGGGGCCCCACCAAAGAACAACGACGTGCCGATTATTAGCCCGAACGAACTTGTGGATGCTGATGGCATCATATTCGGTTTTCCGACAAGATTCGGGATGATGGCCGCTCAATTCAAAGCATTTTTCGACTCGACCGGTGGCTTATGGAGGACTCAAGCACTTGCCGGAAAACCTGCCGGAATCTTTTATAGCACCGGATCTCAAGGCGGTGGCCAAGAAACCACACCGTGAGAGTTCCTAACTTAAAAAACTAAAAAAAAAAAAAAATAATCTACACGGAAAAATACTTTTTTTTTTTTTTCATTTTAATTTTTGAAGAGTATCAATAATGATTTTCCATTTACTTTATGCATGACTGAACTTGAGACCTATTAATCTCTGCTACCAACTGAGCTATCCCTTCTCGTGAAGGAAAAAATATTTTTACGCAACAAAAGTTTTGGTGATTCTTTTACAGATTAACAGCCATAACACAACTTACTCATCACGGCATGATATTCGTGCCTATTGGCTACACGTTTGGAGCCGGGATGTTTGAAATGGGGGAAATTAAAGGCGGGAGTCCTTATGGTGCCGGGACATATGCAGGGGATGGGTCGAGACAACCCTCAAGAATCGAACTCGAGCAAGCTTTTCACCAGGGAAAACACATTGCAGCCATCACTAAGAAGCTCAAACAAACTACTTAATGTGGGTCACGAATAGTTTCCCGATTCATCAAATAAATTTGTATGCTTTTTTTTTTTGTCGGAATAAATTGATCTTAATTGGTGTACTTCGTTTAGATATCATTTACGAATTGCTTTAAGTTCATTAGATATACAATTTGATACAGAAAATTTTACTCAGTTGTAGCTATGAATCGATATTACATTGCCTGTGTTTATTTTTCTTTGCGTATTGAAATTATGGCCTTTAATCGTGTCTAAAATTATATTTTGATTTAAAGAAAAAAAATAAAAGTAGTCAAACTCGGGCAATTGCATATTCAAGCTTGTGTAATATCGTCTCTATAGCTTTATTGCAGCAAATCTTTTCATAGACCAAAGTGCAAGCAATTAATCTTTTCATATATTTCAATAAAAATTTCAACGAATATTATAGTGGTATAACTTCCATTAGAATGATTCTAAAAATTGTAATAGTTCCAACGAAAATATTTTTTTTGAATGAGTTTTCCGTTAAAATTCTAGTTGGAATTTAGTGATTCTAACGACTATTTTTCCCACATTTATTACCGTTGGAATATATAATTTCTATTGAAATTATTATTTCAATTCATATTTCGACCATTGAAAAATGAACTGTTGGAATCGTCAAAATCCAATGAAAATTTCAATATATAATTCATTCCAACGAAATATATTCATTTAAGTTTCCGTTGGGAATCCATTGAAAATTTTCAACAGAAATAACAGTATTGAAATATTCTATGAAATTACCATTCGAATTAGAATATATTTTTGTTAGAATTTCATGATTTTCTTGTAGTTTCGCGTATTCGATGGTCCTAAATAAGGGAATATACTTCTTTTTAAGAAGATAAAAAATTTCATATTTTAGAAATGCATTTTATCATATTTTTGTGGTTAATGTCTTATTTAAAATATATAATTTACTATACATCAATGTTTTAAATACCGTACCGTACCGGCCGGTAATACCGGCCATTGGTACGGTACAATTACACTCAAAATACCGGATTTACGGTTATATCGGCTTGTACGGTTATACCGGCTTGTACCGGTTACACTCAAAAAAAATATTTTTTTTTTTAATTTTAAATATAAAATTTAAATTGATAGTTAAAATTTTTATTTTTAATTTCATTGAGAAGTTGAAATTAATAATTATGGTCATTTATTTTTTTTACTTTTTTTTGCCTTTGGTATTATATATTTTTATGTACATTTATATATATCATTATATTTGCTAATCTGATAATATCATTGATATTGCCGGTCCTACTAGTAATACCGCGTATCAGTGACTTGACCGGTATGACCACCGATGCGGTATTTAAAACACTGCTATACATAACATATGGTGTTTATCAATATTATGTTTTAAAAATTGTAAATCTAGACATTGATTGCGGTTGCCAGCAGCATTTGAGTTTACTCAAATTCAACCAATTAACAACTTTCTTGAGATCAAAAGTATTTTGTTATTAGTTTATTCTGGTCGAATGAGAAATAATCAAATAATTGGACAAATTTCTGTGTAATAAATAAATTATCATACGATGCAAAAGAGCGACAAATTCTTACTCAAGAAAATTTCCGGGATCAATCTTTTGACGAGATACGCATTTTTTTTTTTTT